GGTTAAATACCATAATAAGGTTCTCTTTCATCTGGTTGAATATCATAATAAGATTCTCTCTCACCTGGTTAGATATCATAATAAGGTTCTCTCTCACCTGGTTAAATACCATAATAAGGTTCTCTTTCATCTGGTTGAATATCATAATAAGATTCTCTCTCACCTGGTTAGATATCATAATAAGGTTCTCTCTCTCACCTGGTTAAATATCAATATTTCTGTGTGCTTCCGATCTATTTTTGCCCGTACATATTAATATCATTAATGTCTCATTTATCATATCAGAGGTTTGGACATCTTCATAAATATTTGTCAGTGTACACAAAGTTATAATCTATTTGTATACCTCACTGTCTCCTTATGAAATTTGTTATGATTAGAAATTAAAATTTGAAATTATTTTTGAAAGATTCAAGCAAAATGTACAATTTGATAAATTTTACAAAAAAGCACAATGTTTATTATTAATTTTTTTTTTTTCTTTTTCATTACAAGAAATTAAAAATAATGATAACTTTACGAGAATTTTGTAATAATTTGTATATATAATTGAAGGAACAACAAACATTTTATATTATTCCGAAGAAATGGAATTTTTCTTTGAATCATAAAATTTATTTTAAATATAATCAAAATATAATTTTATAATATAATAGATATAATCAATATATGTTTGTATAGGTAAATTCATCACTTTGCTTAATTACAATGATTCAATGATATTAGAAAATTCATAATTGTTGGTAAAAAAGCAAAATGCCATTGATTACTTCGATAAACAATTTTGCTTTCTCACTTAATTTATTTTTTTCCACTGAAAACTATTGATTTTATATAATAAATATTTCAAAATCTCTCTTCAATCATTCTGGAAAATTCATTTCAAAAACTTTTCTCTCTTATCGATAACAATTTTAGTTAGAAATAATTTTTCATAATAGAAGCGAATAACGTCTCCTTACATTGTTCAATTTATGATCATTTTCGATTTTTCTAACTTTTTTTTTTTTCTCTCTCTCTCTTTTTCTATTTCTAATTATATTTTCCGAATTATAATAGCAATAGAAACGAACATGTTTGAGGGGAATGTTTGAATTCTTTTAGTTATCAGTTTGTTTTTTGATAATTTTTACACCGCCTTTAGAATCTAAATGTCTTTTTAGATCTTTTTTTTTTTTTTTTTTGATTTTTTTGATTTTTTTTTTTCAGAGAAAAATATCAGGTTAATAGTTGCAATTTGCAATAAAATTTGAGAATTTTTTCGAAAAATTATTGATTGGAATTTTGAAATTGAATCGTCAAAGAATTTTCATTGCATATACAAACAATAATGCAATTTCATTTCTACTTTTTTTCAATACTAACCAACCATATAGCATTACAATTTCATGTTTATTTCAAGCTAATTTATATCTTTTCATATTTTAAGCTAATCACTCCTATTTTTATGATAAACTTTTATTATAAATTTTCTATGTAATAAATAAAATTAATGAATGAATAAAGCTTTTATCATAAATTCTTCTATGCAAATTTCAATTGCAAAATAATAATTTTTTTTTTTTCATCAAAAATCCAACTTTAAACAATCACTAATCTATGACATCTTCCATTTCAAATTATTATATCTTTTTAAGAGTAATCATTTGCTATCTTTTACAAACTATCATCTTGTCTATTTATCGTCATAAATTACATCGCAAACATTTACATATCGTTAGTTACCTTTTCTTTCCGTATCATATCATATCAATGTCATATCATTCAATCCTTTGAATGTCTTATGCAAATTTTGAAATGAATGAAAAAAGCTTATCAAACATTACAATTTATCATCCCCTCATTCAAAAAGTTACATATTGTGTTAATTATTATATCGCATCATAAAATATTTAAATGATTAAATTTTATATTTGTATTCGTGGAAAGTTTCTGTCAAATGAATTTAATTCATCCATACGAAAACTTTTCATTTTGAATGAATAATTTTTCATGAAACAAAATATTTCATGAAATAATCACATTCTAACAGATAGATTCTTTTTTTTTTTTTTTAAATATATGATTAAATTTTCATATTCATCACTTCTAAGATGACTTATTCACATATGTCATATACTTAAATGGCATTATTTGAATGTTTCTCCTTCTCTCTCTCTCTCTCTCTCTCTCTCTCTCTCAAACTACTTTGTTCATTTTGAAATGACATTCTAATTGTTGAAGTTTAAAGAGTTCCGAAAATAGAGTAATACCCTCGAAATCATAAAGAATTGAAATTTTAATTATCTCTCTAAAAATGACTGTTTGTGGACAAAAAAAAAAAAGAAATTAATTGCGATTATTATGTACTAATTTATAAGTGTTCCGTAATTGTTGTACACTTTAAATATTTTGTACAATAGCAATATTTTATTCATTTCTGTGACCGTAATATAATTTAGTATTTCTTTTTCGAGAATATAATATGGAAATTAAAAAAAAAAAAAACCAAATTCTTTTTTGTATATTTCGAATTAAATCTGAATTTTTACACAGTGCTACATTTAGTATAACATTATAAAAAGTCAAAAATCTACAGATAAGAATGTAAGCCTTTTATAAAGTTTATTTGATATAATACCTGTTTCTCCAATTTTTTTATCAATAAAATATATTAATTTATTATATATAAGTAATATTATACTTTAGTTATTTCAATAATGATTCATGCTTACTTAATCATTTATTAAATAAAATATTGTCATATTTATTCTTTGCAAAATGATCAACATCTACAATTTAAAAATTGTTTTCTCATAATTTTGAAAAAAAAAAAATTTTTTTTTTTTGTCTTTAAATTATTACCCTTTAAAGTATATAATCACTTTCACTTCTACTTTACACAATTTTCATTGTGATCATCAAAACAACAACTTTAACACAAATTGATTGATTCGTGAAAATTTCATAACTTGTTTAAATGCATTTTTTTTTTTATTAGTGCTTTTTTGTATGAGCTTTTGTATTTTGCTTATATCATTTGGGTCGATAGCTGTTAGATTGATGACACATTGCTGCACACAATGCTTGTTTTCATCACTTCTTTCAAAATTCATAGTAGAATTCAATTTTCATTTCAAAACGAATACCCTCCCTCTCTCCCCTCCTCGTCCCCCTCCTCCTCTCTTAATCGTTTTATCTTTTATGTCCTCATTGTATATATTATACATGTTTGCTTATCTGTTAAAATGCATTAATGTATTTTGTATATGTTTAAAAGTTAACAAAAGCATTATTTTGTATTTAAAAATAGCCTAGAAAGTTTTGTTTAATGATGATGATGATGATGATAATAGTTTTGAAAAATTATGACGAGTTAATTTATAATGATGATTTAAAGAACGATTCGATGATGATGATGATAATAGTTTTGAAAAATTATGACGAGTTAATTTATAATGATGATTTAAAGAACGATTCGATGATGATGATGATGATGATAATAGTTTTGAAAAATTATGACGAGTTAATTTATAATGATGATTTAAAGAACGATTCGATGATGATGATGATAATAGTTTTGAAAAATTATGACGAGTTAATTTATAATGATGATTTAAAGAACGATTCGATGATGATGATGATGATGATAATAGTTTTGAAAAATTATGACGAGTTAATTTATAATGATGATTTAAAGAACGATTCGATGATGATGATGATGATGATGATAATTTTGAAAATTAATGAAAAGTTAGTTTATAACGATGATTTGAAGAATGATTTTTGAGATCAATTTTATATGTATGGTTCATTTGTTTATGTTTTTTGTTTGAAAAATGAAAAAGAGAGGAAAGTGGAACATTTTTATGCTCCTCTCTCTCTCTCACTCTCATTTTTTTGTAATCAAAACTTTCAAGTTTTGAGTCAATCATAAAATGATCTGATTGAAAATGATCTTCCTAATCTGATTGATTTTCAATAGTTAACTTTTATCATATTATATTATTCCAAAATTACTATTTTCCTATATATGCATAAAATATTTGAAAATAATATTTATAAAAATCATAAATATTAACCATTGCTATTAATTTGCCATTGTTATCACATTGTCCTATTACAGAGCTAAAAAATCACATTCTCATCCTGTGAATATTTTTTTTTTTTTTTCTTAAATCATTTTTTAAAGATTTTTTTTTATTGTTAAGTTGACTCATCATAACTATCAAACATTCTTCATCAATCATTTTTCATCAGTTATTCACCATTCTGCTGACATTTGTTTTTTTTTTTCTTTATTTTTTTCAACATTCATTCTAAGTTTTCTTTCAAAGTGTCAGAGTGACAGTTTCGAATTCTTTTAACGATTAACGTTGGTAAAGAAATTTAAATTTTATAAACTGATTCTTTTCTTGAACTTATTAAGCTATTGCTTTGAGAATTTTGAATTGTCATTTATTTTAGTACTTTTTATCAGAAGTATAAAAGAACTGTTGCATGATGCTCCTTTCTAGTATTATTGAAACATTCAACTTTCATAAATTTCATCTCATAGATGAGTAGACTTTTTTTTCTCGTTTGTCTAACGTGTGTGACGTGAATGAGAACTTTCACGTTTTCCACAGAGTACGTCAAATGCACCGTTACCCACTTTCTCACGCCTACACGTTATGTGCCAACTCACCGTGGGATCTGCCAAATTGCATTTCACGGCTACGACCGCGCGCTTATTGTTTTTGACTGTTTTACGTTGAGTTTGGTTGTGTTCTCTTCTGGTATGAATAGACTTTTAATCGGTTTACGTAAATTGTTGTTGTGCTTATTATCACTGGCTTATCATTCATTCCTGTCATCACGTTAACTACACGTAACGTGTAGTATTAATTTCTTGCGTTTCTCTAACACTTTTTGACGTCCAAATTTAAATTAAAAAGACTTATATATTTGAAATTTACAGTTAACAACTGACATTGACGTGTTGAAAACATAGAAGAGCAGCAGATAAGAAAAGTTTAGAAATGGCAGATGATTATCAAATGCAGCAAATAAATGGCGATCAAATTGGTACTATTCAAAAACCGCTTCTAGAGCTTTATGTTAAGGTAAGTAGGTTCGAGTTTTATCGTTAAATTAGAACTGAACTTTGTATTACATATTGGACGTTATTCTGGTTCTAATGTGGAATGTGTTCAACTTTTGCAGTTTCGCTTGCTATAAATCTCAACAGTAGAAAAAATAAGTAGCTTTTGAATAGAAGCAAAAAAAAACCAATAAATCTGATTTGTTTTAATAATTTAGTTAATTTACTTTAGTTTTTTGGCTTGCGCTAAAAGTGCTTTTCTTCTGCGATGAGTAACGGCTTAATCCAGAATTGTTAACAGCAATTCCTTAAGGAGAAATTTCAATTTATAGATTTTTAGGCCTCTGGAATTGAAAATCGTCGCATTGGTGCATGTTTGTTTTGTCAAGAATTCTGGATGGAACTTTACGCTCTCTATGAAATTGGAGTTGTTCGAGTTGAAGTGAAAACAGTAAACATCAATTCTGAAGCATTCAAAAAGAGTTTTCTTGGAGCACAACCACCGATTATGGTGGAAAACAAGTTTGTACCTTTTTTGTCTTCCTCATTTGGTACATTGAAGTGCGCAACAATGATCTTATAAGTATTGCTTGATAAAAAAAAAATGGTCCAGTTCGAGGTACAAAGTAGCTGTTGGAAATTCGAAATCCCTTCCTTAGCATTTGTTCTATTTCAGGAATGCAACTTATACTGACAATCGTGAAATTGAAGGACGCATTTTCCATTTAGCAAAAGAGTTCAATGTGCCACTATTTGAGAAAGATCCAGTGGTAGAGAAACGAATCGAAAGTTTGTACAGAGTAAGCCTGTTTTATTTTCCCACATATTCCTTTATTTTTTTATGAACACGCTGTTAGAGTATCAAAGCAATAAACAAGCCGAAAGTTATCAGAAGCAGTTAATTGGTTAATAATTACGAATATAAATGCATTTATATTGCTTACTGGTTCCATGTATTCAAGTTTTCCAGTTTTCATTGATATTCGTAGAAGCTTTCTAAAACTATAAAAAATGTTGAAAAATGTAGTAACGCATGAATTCATTTTACAGAACTTCAAAATCTTTTTACGATCTAAAAGTGAGCACGACAGGGAACAGAAAGCATCATCACCAACACCAGTGGACTCGCTTCCGCCGCAACAAAAAGCATCATATAACAAACTTGTTGAACAACTAGCAAACATTGACCAAGTGAAAATTTTCCTAAGTTTTGAAGCTACTGTACTATTCACAAAAGAAAAAGGGATTAATTTATTATGATTTAAGCACCAATTTTAGCTTCTAAGTGAACGGAACTCACGATATCTTTTGGGACAAAGTATGACTGAATATGATTGCGAACTGATGCCGCGTCTTCACCATATTCGAATTGTCGGACAGCGTTTGCTTGGCTTTGACATTCCGCTGAACCTAACCTACCTCTGGAATTATGTGTTGAATGCATATCGTACCGCTGCTTTTATCGAAAGTTGTCCAGCAGACCAAGATATTCTTCATCACTATAAGGTGTGGTATGCAGATGTTTTGATTGACGAACTGTTCATTTGAAATTTTAAAACATCTGAATTTTATTTAAAAGTTTAATGATTTAGTCATTTGAAGGTTGAATTGAATTCAGCTAGATAAAACTAATAAAATAGGGAAAGTTTGGATATTCTCCTAAACAATTCCCTAAAAATACTTTTGGTGCAATTTTCACAAAATAAATTTGCTGAATAAATAATTGTAATGTCACATTTCTATAGAATTAAAAATAGTGTTTTGTGTTTTTGAAATTATAAAACGTGAATTAATTGCTTTTTGATTTTATCTTTTCCAGGAACAGCTTAGTCTAGTAACAAATCAGCGCGAATCTTTACAAGTCCCGACCAAAACTCATACAATTCCTGAAACTGTCTTGCAAGATATTCGTCGACTCAAGTTGGATGAAAACTGAGATTGACTGTAATCGTCATTATTATTATCAGATTCTCTTTTAAGATTTAATTTATCTAATGTAATTTACATTGTTACCACTCTTTGTAAAATTCTGAGGTAATGGTTAAGCAACTGCATCTCAAATCCTAAGGAATTTTAGAATTTCTAGAAAATCTTTGATCTGTTTTTACATTAGAAATCAGTTACCGGCATTGGCCATCTCTTAGGATACTTTCCGATTTTTCCTATTTAAAATGAGTTTATGTCGAATATTCCTTCTTTTTTATTTACAGACTTGTACCATTTGTACTTATTTGCTAAATATTTTCTATAAATCATATTGGTCTTTTCCAAAAATAATCACTTTGCCTAACGCATATTCGCATTTCACTGTTTTCCAACTTTCTAAATATTGCAGAGTTGTGTTTTTGTTTTGTCTAAAGATATTATGCAGTCATTAAATGGACTGCTTAAAGCAATCCATTTTAAATTGAAGAAATTATTTCATTATCTTCAAAATTTCATTTTCACTGCAACGAATCGAATGCATATCATTGCGCCGTGTTGTCTGCTTTTGGGCTTTACCCTGGTTTATCATTATGTATGCCAAGTAAAATGATATTGGTTTTTTTTATTTTCAAGAGTTCTAACAATGTAAGAGATTGAAATAATGCTTGAGATTTCTTAAATTTGATCAGGAGAGAAAGTGTATAGCAGTTGAAAATATTTTAAGGACCTATCTCATACAACTAATGTTAGTCACAGTAATATATGATATATATTCACACGGTCAAACAGTCAGTTTGAAACACTGAGGTAGTTATTTAGATGTCCCTGACTGTGACCTCAACCTCTCCTGACTTACTACAAATTATACTGTAGCTCAACTAAATCTTTTGTGCAAAATTACTATGTGGCAGTTAAATATTACTTTTTGATGACCTAGTGTTGTAACTTAGTTCTCTTCCTATAATCATCAGAAAATCATGGTTCTTTTTTTTTTGTTTAAAAAAAAATTAAATCGGTGATGCTTTTCACCCATATCAATTTTTATATAAAATAGAAAATTTTGAAGTCCATTAGTTCTTCAATGTTAATTAGTTGATTCTTTTCTAATCATTATCCTTTGTGATTGTTTACAATGATAGATGAGTGATATATTATTATCATATCAGATGTCGTAGTAGTGTAACACTACCAGTTTGTCAAACAAATACTGATAACTACTTGTCGATAACGGAAAAGAAATGTTCTCGTGATATGATATGATGTGATAAGTATGGACATACTGTTAAAGACATCACAGTAATGATTGAGTCAGGGATGGTATTTATAATTATATTGCGGTAAAATCCTTCTCGGAAATTAGAAGGTCATGTCAATTTTTAAGCAAAATGCTTAATAAATCCATAATTCAATGAAATTTCGATTTTGCTATTATTCAAGTACCTTAAAATTACCAAACTCATTATGCAAACTAATCGAAAATGACATCAACTGAGATCACACATAGCATATTTCTACTGCAATAATAAAATTGCTTATTAATTTCAGCCTTTCAATGTTAAATTTATGTCTTATTTTTAACTAATTTTGACAACAAATTTGAAGAAAAAAGTGAGAATTAAAATTGATTTTTCATTAAAAAAATACAAATATTTTGAAATTATTCGGCATTTTGCTTACGGTAATATCTTCAAACACTGTGATTTTTTATTTTGCGAAAAAACTTTTTTTTACAATATTATTTTAAATTATTTGAATACCAATTTGAATTGCTAAAATATTAAGAAAATGATATATTCCAATTCTATGGTCATTCAAAAGCAGTAAATCTTCTATTATCCCTTTTGTTTCCATACCGTTTTTCATTTTAGAATGTTTTTATTATTATTTATTATGGCAACCAATGATAGTTCGGGTAGGTAAGTTGCTGCACAATAGCCTAAATGCTAATAAATTAACCCATTTGACTTATTTAGGAATATTAGTTATTTGTGCTAATAATAATTGAACAATAAAAGAAGTTAATGCCATGTAGATTTTATAAATTCTTTCAATTGCTATTCAGATTTTCCTGACAAAAATACTAGTTATACACTACATTAGCTTAACGAGACAAGCAAGAGTCAAGAGCTTACAGACTATAGTAGTACACATAAAGTTAAATCAACTTTTCTCGGTAATTACTCAACTTTTTTTTGAGAAAAGCACCAGTTATATAACCTTTTAGCCCAATGAAAAATAATTAAGGACCTATAAATAATTTATATAAGGTAGGTTAAGCATAGTAAAAATGGTTTGATACTGAAGGATTTGACACTATGGACAGATGGATAATGCTTAACTTAAAATCCTCATTAATGAAAGATGGATGGAAGTAAATAACACAAATGGCTTATATATAAGTAACCATTATGAGATTGAAAAGGTAAATTTGCCTCGGATGAAAAAAGAATTAGTATTTTGTATTCAAGATACTTTTATCTGAATATAGTTCACAAGAATACAAAGTAATTAAAATCAAAAAATTTCGAGCTTACTCATAAATAGGAATATTTAGTGGTTCTATTTCAATAAGCAAATTTGCAACATACTTTGTTTATTTAATTAATAACGAGTTGATAACAATTAATAACATATTAATAATAATTCTAATAATTAATGACAATTAATAACAATAATAATAATAAATAACAATTAATAACAAGCATATTTTTAAAGCGGTCAAACAAGAAAAGTAACAATTCAGACAAATAATATTTACTTCAAAGCTACTTGTTTCCCTTTTAGAAAAAATTTCTTCTTTTTAAATTTTTAAAATTAGATTTTTTTAAAAAAAAATTAAAATTTAGCCAATATAATCATCAACTTACTATCTGCAGTAACATTTGCACCAGTAATAAATGGATTATGAATCACATAAATTGTAGTCATTAGTGACAAACATAATCGGAGAAAATCTCAAATATCCCTCAGCAATATTTCCTAGATCCACAATTATATCACTACTACCTGATAGTATTCAAATTTGTATTCAATTTCAAGTATTCAAATTTGTATTCAATTTCAGTAAAAGAAAATATAACTAATAAATATACAATGTTCTCATATTATTAACGATGAGTACCAAATGACTCTTCAATTACCAGGAATAACAGAGAAATAATTGTCAACTGAATTGGTACCTACAATTATAGGAACCATGGAACCTACTATATTACTTTTTTTTCCCACTAGCCAAGGTGCAATTAGCATATTTCCAAGCTACCTAGTTAATCCTTTACTCTAAAAGATACTTACAATTCCATATAACAATATAATACAAATATTAATAATAGTTATCATAATAATAAAGATTATAATATATCTCTTGAAAAGAGTTAATAATTTTTAAGAAAAGTCAATTTTAAGAAAAATCTAATATCAATATGAACACAATAGGATTTAATGCTCTCTTGAGTAGAAAGAGAACGTCATATCTACTAATTCTTAGTGATGATGTCACTCTTTTGTGAAATAATTTTATGTACAATTATCCTAACAATAAACCCAAGTAAATAGAGTTTGAAAATTTGAGACTAATGTCAGCAATTTAGATTTCTTTCCATGAATCGCTCAGCATATTTTGCAGCAGTTCTATACTAGAAATTAATATGAAAATTTTGTATAATAATATAGTCTGTAAATTTTACAAAAAAACTTTTCAGAAATTGTCGAAAATTTTCCTAACAGATTCATTATCTAAATTTGTAATTAAAATTAATTTCAGTGTCAAAAATTAATTGAAATTATTACTAATTGAAAATTTTATTAATTTCTATATTGAATGATTGCTCTCTTTTTCCAGTCACATCGTACTTCTTGCTTCCCCTCTTACCCCCTTCCTCTCCCTTTTATGGTAATTTTTCACGAACGATATTAGCCCTTCAATATTTCTGTCTGCTGCATCATCTACCCCTGTATATTTGACTCTAAATGCTTTCACGTTGTTCTTGCTTGTGGATATTATCATATCAAATTGATATTATCATATCAAATTGATATGTAAATATGTCAAGTTGTCACATACTTAAAAAGCATATAAAATGCTTCTATAAGCTTTCTCATCAAACTATATTATATTCTAAACAGAATGCATAAGAAATAAACACGGAAGATTATTAAGTCGTACACAAAATAAGTGATCCAAGCATTTTTATTCTGCGAATAACTAATCAACGATGAAAATGTATGTCAGAACGACAGATAGGTATTATAATGAGAATATTGTGGTAATAAGATTTTCTTTTTCCACTCAATTAATTAATTAATTAATTAATTCCCTAACGAATTTTTGATTGATTAATTAATTCCTAGAAAATATCACTAAAGAAAAAAAAAATGAGTAAAAGAATCAATAAAACAAGCGAGAAAAATCCACCAAAATACGTAATTATCATTCTAAAATAGTTCGATTAACAAATGCATAAATGCACTAACCCCTACCTTCTAAAAGGACAAATGCGCTCTATTTTGAATAGCCAAAAGATATCAAATTGAATAAAGGGCAATACTTGACCTACTATCAGGGAAAATGATTGTCGAATTTGTAAGGAAGGGAAGTAATACCCAATTTGTGCCCTAAGTGGTACAGTTTTTGTATTATCGGATGCGCCCTGCCCGTTTGCTTGGTGAAATCAAAATAAGGGCGGTATTTGACATGAATGTGATAGTCTAACTTGTAAGACAGAGGAGAGGGAGCGGTATTCACGAGTAGTACTAATTGTCGCGTTCTTCTTATTTCTTGAGTTGAGTCTCTCAAGGGGGGATGTCTTATTGTCATCATCGTAGGTGCAGTTTTAGTGAATTGGGAAGGATGGATAACTGCGCTCTGTCCGCTCATTTGTTGAAAGGAAAAAAAAAGTCAGAAAATGTGGAATTGAAGAAGGGGTGTGCTTGATATATTATGAGAAGATATGATTGTAAGGTAGGGAGAGAGAGTTAATCATTTTATTATTTATCAAAACAATTAAATTT